CAAACATCCCTTTCCAGCCCCCCTTCCCTGGCGAAGCTAACTTTCAAGCATGCTGGGACCTGACGAAGGTTGTCTCATCATAGCGACTCCCATGAGGAGGTAACTCTAGGATTTCTTAATCACCACCAGTAGTGGAGAAACGTAGATAAACTATGGACTGATGGCCAAGAGTCATGTTAGATCGCTCAACATGGAAAGATGCACTGACAGGCTCAGTGCTGGTGATTTATTTCACTGAAATAGGTCTTTAAATTTCTGTTTAATATTATAGTTGTTATATTTTAATATAATATCAAAAGAATATTCATTATTTATTATAACAATTTAAATCTGAATGTATATAGACATAAATCAATACATAAATTAAACTTTATTTTTGAATGTTTGAAAAACTGTCTTACCCCAACATTTCCTTCTTATATATATTTTTTTAAATAAATAAAATATTTAATATTTATATTATGTTTATATTAATTCATAATGTTCTTATTATCTTGAAATGAAAATATTGAAGGTTTTTCAAAAAAACTGAAAAATAAAAATGTAACTTTTTTTTTTAAATTATTGATTTATGTGTATATATAGGTAAATATACTCATTAGGGTCAATTAATCAATCATTAAAATGGCACTGTTCAAATATAAATGTTTGCATATATATATATATATATATATCATGCAAATAACTACTTTTCAATATAGCTATTTAAATTATTACACAATATTACAAATGAATTAGTTTTCCATACAGTCCTAAATCAATACAGCAAACACATATTACATTTTATTTTCCAAAACAAACTTTCCTCCCCCTTTCAAAAAAGAACAACAGCGGAGACTGTAGGAGGGGCTAAGGGCGTGTTTGGGGTGGGGTGAGGAGGCGTAACCGGAGCTCTTCAACAAGAGCAATGCGAGCTCATTTCTGGTCTCTAATGAGTGCGGCAGGGCGGCCGGCATGATGATCAGAGTCAGATGGGGTGCCCCGAGCAGCCGCCCCCTGCCGAAAGTGCCGCCTGACACCCTTTGTTACCTCCAAGTGAGCTGAGACCAGCCCATGAACCATGTAACTAGGTGGTTTCCAGGTTAATGAAAAGCTGTAACTCCAGTCTCACTGTCTCCTTAGAAGTCTAACTAACCCCCCAATCCCCCTACTTTCACCCTAGCAAGCCCCCTTTGAAAAAAAAAAGTCAACATTCCAACCAAGAAATGAGCACCGTTGAACGCAAATGAATATAAGTGGCACATAGACCTGTCCTCTTCTAAGAGACATTTATTTGTGAAGGACTGTTCACATCTGAATATACGGCGGAGACTTATGACGGTCAGAGGACGACCCATAATTTTGCTTCCAGCTGGAAGTGCTTGATCTATAAACACGTATGAAGAATGGTAGTAAGAGTTTAAAGTAAACATTGATTTAACCTTACAAACAATCATGGCCTTGAAATACATCCTCTTAATGTTCTCCTGATCTGCTTCCAGATGTTTGTTTGTGAGTTTGTGTGTGTGTGTGTGTGTGTGTGTGTGTCTCTGAGATCGACGGCCCCCTCAGTCGTCTAATTCCTGTCTCCGCCTCTACATGGCTCCAGTACCCTCATTTGCACAGGGTAAATATGTATTCCCAAGTATACATTTTTGTCAGGTTCCACTCAGAAAAAAAGCCTTTGATTCCACTAAGGCGGCTTGTTGAAAAAGAGAGAGGAAAAAAAAAAAAACTGTTCTCTCCAGTTGGCATCTAATTTGGAGCAGCGGACATTAAAGCGGCAGCCAGTCACTAATAGGAGCCATTCCTGCAGCTAGCGTCAGAGAGGAGGTGTGCTGGGCATTTGTGCTTTAGCAACTCTCTGAGACCTATGCTAATAGATTTCAGCTCTACTAACCCTTCATTCTCCCAATTAGCCTGCTTTAGTGTGACTGAAAGTCCAAGAGAGAGAGAGAGAAAGAAAGAGGGAGGGAGAAAGTGGTACACAAGTAATACAACAACTAGTTAGTAGTGCTGGCCTGTACGAAACACACAACCTCTACAAAGCTTTATTTCAAAGTTCAAAAACAATTAAAAAAAAAAGCTTTGAAGTTTCGTAGTTTGTAGATTGGTATGGATAGACATGCAGATCAACAAAATGATAGAATGATAGAATGACAGAAAGAGAATGACAGATAGAATAAGAGAATCACAGATTGACAATTGGTAGAATGAAAGACACAGAACGGATAGATATGGTCAAATGACATACAGACAGATAGATATATGGTCAAAAGACAGACGGATGGATGGATGGATGGATGGACGGACGGACAGACAAACAGGTAGATAGATAGATAGATAGATAGATAGATAGATAGATAGATAGATAGATAGATACGGACAGACAGACAGACAGACAGACAGACAGACAGACAGACAGACAGACAGACAGACAGAAACAGACAGACAGACAGACAGACAGACAGACAGATAGATAGATAGATAGATAGATAGATAGATAGATAGATAGATAGATAGATAGATAGATAGATAGATAGATAGATAGATAGATAGATAGATAGATAGATAGATAGATAGATAGATAGATGGGATTATGCTATTGCATTATGGGTTATAGAATTTAGATGAACAGAAATTGAGCAGATATCTGATTGGCCGATTCTCTCAATCTGAGCCTATGAAAAACCAGGGCACATATGCGAGCCACACACACATACGTTAAGCAGTTGACTGTTTGCACTCACACTAACAGAAAAACCCACAGAAAACAAATAAATAAAACTGGCACTCTTTACACGGGCCTTTTATCACTTCTTGAGGAAGAGCATTACAAAGGAAATAGAGAGTGCACTTTTAACCCTGACCCTGTGTGAGGAGAGAGCGGCCTAACTGTGGCCTTACCTGTAATAAACCCTCTACTAGCAGCGCTAGATCTTAAATCACTCTACAGGACTCTAGAGTATCGAATGTCGCTTCATACAAGTGTACATACAGACACACAGCCGCAAATAGACACAAAGAAACACAAACAAGCCACTTTGAAACACTTCCTCTTTAAAGTACAAATATCTAATTATCATCTCAAAAGGTTTATTTACCAGAAAACGGTAGCAGAAAATGTGAAACTTCATAGTGTATGTGTGAGGGGTGTTAGTCACAGAGCCAGAGGTCTTGGCAGGGCACCCAGAAGCTGTAAAGGTTTAGTACCGGGCCACAACCTGTTTACTCCATACTGAGCGACTCCAGTGTGAGGGAGGGCGCTGATTCATTTGCTCTTTTCCTCTCTTCAACATTCCTTTTTTTTCTTGCATGACAGAGTGAAAGAGGTACTGCCGCCCAAAATATTCAGAATTGATTGGTATTAGGAATGAGAAATTGAAATAATTTAATGATTCTAGTTCCTGGTAATGATTCCATTAACGTTTATTTTAATAATTAAGAAATATTTTTGGGAGGGGAAATGCAATTAAATTGCCAAAAAATATCATTTAAATAATAAATAAATTCAAACCAATTCTAAAATATAGTGATTTTTTAAAATATATTCATAGTTCATTTTTTTAAACATTCTTATTATTATTATTAGTGCATAAATAAAATACAATAACTGGCCATAACTAAATATTAAACAACAATACTAAAACAAAACAAAACATTCATTAATTTATTTTCATAACATACTCCAAACAAACGCATAATGTTGTTGTGACATGAACAACCAGTAAGGAACCCCAAATTTAACTTTCAGTTATTTGATTCAATTAAAAGAACCAGCTCATTAGAGTCATTAGTTTGTGATTCAGACTAGACTGAACTGAACTGGCAGCACTATACTGTAGGTTTATGATTCACTTTACAGGACCGACTCTTTACAGTCATTCGCTCGGGAATCAGACTACACTGGTCACACTTCATGTAAATTCAAAAGAGGTGTTGCAGTGTCACTGAAAAAGTGTTTAACCCTGTAAAGCCTGACATATGAAATCTATATATTTTTTTTATTGATTTGAAGTGTTTATGTTAATTATGTTTTGTATTATATGAAATAGTGAGAATATTGTGCTCACACTGGAGGAGGGGGCACACATTTTTGTCAGAGCCAAACAGAGCAAATATATTCAGTGCAGTTGCTGTTATTTATATCGCCAAAAAGTATTTTTGTTTGTAAGATACTTGCAACACATATCTTAGTCAGATGATAATAAATGCTTATTTATATGATCAAAGCTCTGTGGTTTTAATTGTGGAGGGCAAAACATATTATAGTAAGTGCACTGCAATGATGATTGAGAGAAAAATGTTCTTGTAATTGTATCATATTTGAAACTTAGATTTTAACATATTTCTATAAAATGATGTGTGGATAATCAAGTAAACCCAAGTTGTCACAGGCCAGTAAATGTTAATTTTGAAACAATATAAAAGTTATACTTATGTTTACTTTATGAAAATCATTAAAGATTTGTACAGCAAAAATATATACCTGATTTTTAGAACTATGCCAAAAGTATAATTACTTTACTAACAAATTATGAATTATCAATCAGAGGGCAAGAGGCATGAAGTAGATTGTGTGCAACAAGTTTTGATCATGTTGATAATTTAGAGGCCGTAGTAGACATTACTGTATAAAATATTAGGCTTCTTAAGGTTAAGAAAACTGTCATAGTATGTAGTAGAATGAACGTGCAAGAGCCGTTAATGGAAACGATCACCACTTAGTGCCGTTTTGTTAGAGCAACCTTGGTTCACAACTCACAATTGGTATTCACATATACTACTTCAGTTTCAGAACCACATCAAAACAATGGATGTAATTAAGTGAAATAATGAGGTGAGTATGTGAGCAATTTGAGAACATTAAAAAGTATTACTTAAACATTATGGGAGAATGAGTAAATGATGCATTTCATTTTCCACGGAAATATTACGCTACTGCCAGAGAATTCCTAGAATCCCGGCATTAAGAACAGCAAGGAATGAAAGACAATTACATGATGAATTATTTTTTTTACCTGGTCTTCATAACATCCAACGGGTGCATCAAGCAAATCTCCACAAGACCTACAGAGGACAAAAATCACAAGTAATTATAACACTGCCCTGCTAAACCGACATAAATCAGTCATTAAAACAGGACACGAGCACAACCGAACATGTTATTATTCGCTCACAGGCCATTAAGCTGTCATTACCAAATGCCAAGCTTTCTTTCCTTCTCTTCCACTCTCTCTTGTCATATTTCACTGAGCTTTTTAAGAAATATTTCAGTATAATCCGATTTCATTCAAGACCGTTCAAGCCTTATTGCATTGTACAGTGATTTTTTAACAGCATAATCATCCCAAACACAGCTTCATTTCAAACACTTCAGGATCCTGCCAAGTGCAAAGTCTCTCGAGACCTAATCCACAAATATTTCACCACGTTGAAATGGTGATGTATTATACACCACGATCCATATATTTGTAAATACAAATAAAAAGACAGATGTTTGTGTGATTCCATTCACCGTCTGTCTGGGTGCATGTGTGTGGTTTGCGTGTCTGTATTTGGTAGACAGAGGGTTTTCCCCTCAAAAATCCCTATGTAACAGTCCCCTGAACTCACATCCGACAGGAGCTGCTTGGCCAGCAGCCACATTCGTCACTCTGATCTTGTTTTTGCCTCCTTGCCACTCCACTGCAACTGACAAGCGTGCGGTAAGGGATCTGGCAACAAAATGGCCTCCATGCAGAGATGTGGGACGTTGCGCTCGCCTGGCCTGCAAGTCATTACCATCATCCATTTTATTTCGGTTCCAATGTGCTGATGGACGTAAAATCCCAAAGTATTTTCGAATCTTATTTTATCTGGACCGGCCCACTGTAAGGCTGCCGTAATGGCCTTCCTAATGCCAGGATTCCAGTTCATATGCGCTCAAGCCATGACAGAAAGGGTGAGGGATGTTTAACATGCTGAATATAGGTGATTTCACACCACAAAACATGGCGAATAGTTTGTATGTTGTTACCACACAGATTGGGTTCCATTTAAAAGAGACAGTGAACAACAGCTGAAACCTTATCTGTGTTGGGCTACAAGTTATGTAAATAGTTAACAGCACAAGTCAGTATCTGTTTTGCGCTAGACAGTTCATAGAACATTTTTTTTATTCAAGGTAACTGTAAATAAACATATCGGGGTGTCTGACGAGTGCAATTTGTCGCAAAACGAAAAATTATTGTTGATTTAACTTTAAAAAAAGTTTACCTGGTTGCCTTAAAATTAGAGTTCATTGAAATAAAAAATTTGAGTTAATACAACGAGGGAGATTGGTTTAATAAATAGAAACTAAAAACATTATGTTATCTGAACCACATTTATTATCTACGTAAAATTTGTGATAACAAATCATGAAAATCATTTTTTACAGTGAACGTGATCTTAGAGGCGCAATTATGCATCTCTATCGCAATTCCCAGCTCCGTTTGGGCGTTTACTTTAATGGTTTCCCTCACAGATTCCTCTTTGTGTACACAGCTGTTGAGAAATATGGTCCTATTCTAATTTCTTCCATTAAAAGTATTGTCCATAATAAACAAGACATTGCCTCCTTGGGGATTTTCCAGGAAAGTAATAATCAAGAGAAATTCCAAAGAGGAATTGCAGTCCACCATTATGACAAAAGGTGATAGAAACAGGCTTGTGTTGTCTTTTTGCATGTTACCTGTCAGGAAACGAGAGAGTCTTTTGAACAGAGAATGTGGCATATTCATAAACAAATCCTAGCAGTAGGACATGCTGAGGTGGTGTGATTCATTTCAGGTCAGATATGAGTTTGTGGAAGATGCATCAGTCAGACGAAATTGGCGAAATTAGGTATGTCATAGTCTCCCTGTCGCCCAAGGCGTTATAACACAATAACGTTTATCATTAATTAATCACGGCTGCCAGGGCATCACAGGGGAAAATAATGTTACGCACTCAGGAGACATATGTTTTCCATTTCAGCACTCTATCCATCCTGAGGAAATAAAAGAGAAGGAGGCCTGGGAGAGTCATCTCAGCCGCGAGACAGCTGGAGGAATAGACCCATCTATACTTGGAGCTGAGGTGGAGCGGTAAAGTCATGTAAAGGGATGTGTCTTTTTAAAATTCCATACCACTTGATAAACATTTTCATTTCAGTGAATTAATTACAGTCATTTTATCAAGTAGAACGTGGTCCTGTAACAGCTGTCACAATAACATTCAGTTCAGTTTGTCTTAGTTTCATTTTCATAGACTTTTAATTTGCTCATCATCGTTTCCTTTGTTCTAGTTTCCCGCCAGTCATTAGTTGCCAGAGAGATTCATTTAACGAACACACCTGTCTGTACGAACCATGTGTATTTAAGCCCTGCAGGTTTTCAGTTTTGTTGCCTTTCTTCTGTGGATTACCTTTTTTTTTTTTTTTTTTTTTTTTTAATACACACCTTTTGTTATTAGAATCATTTTGGACTCTTTTCATCTTAATTGGACTTTAAAGCGTGACAACAACATTGTTATCAAGCTATTATTTGCCTCAGATTTTAGAGGTATTTATTGTTCATAATTGAATTGAGCATGTGTTTCAAATTTCAATTTAATTCCTGAATTTGAAATTAATTTGTGGAAGGACATAGAATAAAAAACTGCACTTCAAATTGGAATTTAAGCAAAAAACTTCGAATGTTTGACAAAGCTATGTTTGAAAGTAAAAGGTTTTAGGCCTACAAACAGATTGATCTACTGTATATATTTGTTAAATACAAATAAGTATAAATGTATATCAAGTATACATTTCAAACCAAGGTAAAATAACATTCCATTTTCCAGAATGCCAGTAACTGTTGAATTTCTACTACTTCCTGTAATTCTAATTCAAATTCCGGTGGGTGTGGCCAATTCTATTCAAACTCCAACTGATGAATAGGAAGACATTTTTTTACAGGAATATTTGCAGGGTTCAGTACAAGTTAAGCTCAATTGACAGCACTTGTGGCATACGCTAGCCTGGGAAAACCCAGACAACTTCCGGCAAATTTAGATTTGCTCTGAAAGTTAGTCTGGCAAAGAGCTCATTCAAGCCCATTTCCAATCCGTCAAAATCGCGGCACCAATCAGAAACGTTGGGGCGGGCTTTACACGATGACGACAGCGCTGGGATTTTGAAGCAGATTTTGTAGCCTACATTACAAAGATGGATGCCGCCGTCGAACATCACTCGTTCGAATCAGCTATCGCGTCTGTTTTAAGCGATTTGAATGTTTCCTTTTTGTTAAAAACAGAGCAAAGAACAACACTCGGAGATGTTTCTCCGCCGCTCTGCATACATCATCTCCTTCATCGCTCTGATTGGTTTTAGGTCTATCCGCGACGTCCGTTGGTGACGCCCCTCTGGAAATGATTTGTCTATGATGCTTTCCCAGACCATAACTCAGTTACAACTGAGAATGGTCTGGTTTTAACCAGGCTAGGCATACGCATAATATTACCACAAATTAGTTTCCATTTGTCCTTCCTTTTCTCTTAAAAAAAGAAGGAAAACAAATACAGTGAGGCACTTACAAAGGGCACAATCCACAAATGTTAAAATAGTCAATTGATTTTAGCTGGGATTTAAAAAAAAATCTGTTGTTGACAAATGTTTGTTTTTTTACATTTTAAAACGACCATAAAAAAATGACAAAAATGACTTTACATCAAGTTTTAGCAGAATAATTAAAGTAGGCCTATGTGCATTTATGAAACAAGCATTACATTTCTTCTTTTAAATTCTCCAGAAATGTGGGCCATTTATAGCTATTGTAAGTGTAAGCATTTATTTTTTAAGAAAATGAGGGACCAGTCGAAAACTATTTTCTGTGATAATCAATATTATGCCACAAGTGCAGTTGACTGAGATTAATACTGAACCCAGAATATTCCATTAATTTCAGAATTTTGCTGAACCCTGTAGGGCTGTTTTTTTTTTATAGGAATGTTCTTTCAGGACCAACAAACGTTGAGGTAAACGTGGAGGAAGCCTGGACCCGTGTGAACCCTGTTGCTGCTCTGGACTGTACAAGAGGGGCTCGTAGAGGATCAAAGGTAGGAAGCAGTGAGTAGTTGAGAAAGCCTGTCACTCATTTGACTCTAATGAACTCCATGTTTGGCGGAAAAGAAAAGAACACCCTAGTTAAGCAGCAACACTTAAGAGTTATCGTCTAAGAGCTTCCAAAGAGGGGAAAATGCACAAACAAGGTGAGAGGGCCAAAGAATAAACCACATCCATCGTTGCCATATTCCATATGGGGGATTTAAAGGAGCAGGAAAAAGACGCCAAGAGGGAGGCAAGAGATGGAGGGACTGAAAGGGTAAGCGAGACTTTCTCTACACAACACTAGCAAGTACATAAAAAGGTTAAGGTGGATGCAATCTGTGCTCTTGAAATAAGAAAGCCACTAAATGAAGAAGTTGCATAATGGTGATGTTGTTGGCCAAGAACGTATTGGTAGAAATGGGGACCATGAAGGGAACAGGGCTGTCGTCAGTGGGCCCAGTATGGTAGCTTACTCATTGGACCCAGAGGACAGATGATCCACCCATAAAACATTTGTCCCTGGCTCTGTGAATTTTAACGACGACCCTGGATGGGAACAAGATCATTTTTTTTGTAAAAATCTAGGGCCGTGTAGTAATAACTTGCCAAATAACTTGCACTTGATATCGAACTTTTAAAGATCATTGTTTTATTCTTTGCCAGTGTTTCCTGCACAGCTGAATCTATAGTCTGAACTCTGAAGTCAAAGGATCCATATTTTACCACAGTTTGCTGTCTGAATCTAATGAGATAAAAAGGAACATAATGCAAAATAATAGAAAACATATTTTTTATGTTAAATTGTTTGACTGAATATAAATGGTATATTTATATATATATACTGTATGTTACACATACTCGTGTGTATATACACATAAACTGTGAATTATATACACACAATGTTACAGTACAATTTAGAGAGAATCAAATGTAAGCAAAATGGACATCATAAATTAATACTTTAATAAACTGAAATTGA